GAGGAAGGGAAAGAACAAACACCCTAATGGAGTCCAGAGAGAGAAGCAGCAAGGACAGATTAATACTCCGGAGCTGACCAAAATCCCAGAGCTCCAGAAGTACTTGGAAGGGGCCAGGAGAAAGGAGTGTACATCAAGTCTGTATTCAGAGACAGCTGTCTGTGGTGCACTTTTAACTTTCATTGCAAAGCTTGATTAATCTATTTGCTGGAACTATTCCACACTTCAGTGCAGTCGAAATTGTATTTTCTAAGCCACAGTTAATTGAGGCTCTCGGTTACCTGAAGGATGAATATCTCCTCAGAGTTATGACTTCAGCACGTAAGTACTGCTGAGATTTTAGTGCATAAATCTTTAAACACTAATGAACTAATGTCTTGGGGCCAAATCCAGCACCGTTGTTCTGCAAATCTTTATTCCTAATGGTTTGTGCAAGACTTATATGAATATATTGGAGCCAGGCTCGCAGGCCATTAATTGAATGCTGTCTCTGGTTGCAAAGGCACACTTATTTGGTGTTTACTTACAGGGAAAATGCAAAATTAAGGAGAAGAGAAATTGAATTTTAAAAGCACTGCCCCAAAATGCATGTTGACGTGGCTTTTTGTTTGATTGTTTCTCTTTTTCATCCATCAGTCCTTGTATTTACTCTTCTTTGTTAAATCAACAACAAAAAAACAGATACATGACTGACTCTCCAGCTCCTGAGCAAGAGTAGATACAAAGAAATGTCAATGAAAGATATGCAGAGAGTCCTGAAGAACAATTACTTTGAAGTGCTGCTTGATTTAAAAATAAATAAAGGCAGGGACGAGATGGGAATATCATAAGTGGTAGAGCTGAGGTCAAGGAGTGGCAGGTGCCGCGTATTTCGGAGCTCCAGCTGTGGAGAACCAAGCAGTGACAGAATTGGCAGCTGGAGGCCCTGGCTTGCCAGAGGAGCTGTGCCCTGTGCCCTTCATGTATTAGCACCTAAGGACTAACTAGGAGTTACAATACCTAAGGAGTATTGTAACTAGATCTTTAGTAAGACTGTGGGACAACCTGATCTTGAAGCACAGTTTGCTTTGGTAGCAGGTGCCTGGCTCGTTGGGAAGCTCTCACTGGAGCGGTTGGGGCTCTCCTTGCTTTGCCTGGTGCATTACGTTGATCTGTATCTTGCCTCGGTCTAGGGCATGGTTAATATCCAGTAAGGAGCAGACACTCTAAATGTTAGAGTATCACCCATTTTTCTGCAGCCCTAGATGAGAGCATCCTGCCCTGATCATCAGAACCAGGTCTCTGTGAGAAATAGTCCTTCATACTCTGTGCCTGTTGGACCTGTGGTTTGAAAGTGCCTTTTTCTGCTGTTGTAGGTGGAGCGGTTCAGGACTCCTGCGCTGTCAGGAGTGTTTTCTGCACAGGCAGCGTGAGGAGAAATCCTAGGACTGTGTGTTCCCGGGCTGATGTGGAGTTGCAGTGTAGTTGCCTTTTTTCATCTAATTCTGTCAGCAGACTGGCTGGCGGAGCGGGGAGTCCTACTGGAGAAAGGAAGAAAACTTCTATGCTGGCCTAGCTCTGTTTTGTGAATAATGTTCCGTTTTGGGGAACTGTTTCTTCAGCTGCTTGAAATATAAAGGGAATTTGCCATTGATATAAGGTATTAATTTCATAGCTTCACACTTGGAAGCTGCCTATTTTCCACGGAATAGCGCTATGCGAGCAGCAGCATTTCAAGCCTTGCCGTTCCGGTGGGAAGGATCGGTGCGGAGCGCGGTCTCCGTGGCTTGTTCCCTCCCTGCTGAGGCGGTTGCGTAGCTGGCAGCAGCGCTCCTCGTGTTCGGGAAGTCCATGTCCCTCGCCCTGTGACTACATCACTGCTGCACAGCGCTTGTTTCACTCGGGGAACTAACTAGCAATCGCGTGTTCAAGCTTCCTGATCTGTATTAACATCACTCCGTGAAAAGTCTGGTGTCATCAAGTGCAGTTCTCTATTTTAGGCTCTTCACAGATCTGCATCTCTTACTGGATCCAGGCTTGGCCTTTGTTTGGGCATGAATTGCTGCAATATAAAATAACACTTCTCCTTGGTGTCTCTCCTTAAGACCTTTGCTTGCTGAGTTGTCTAACAGGGATCAGCCAGTTTGATATGGTTGGAAAGTGAGATGTTTGGGACAGCTACAATTTTAATTACTTTGTAAATGCTCAAGTGTCTTGTAGCCATTAGGTCCCGCACTTGTGTTTTGATGTGATTATAGCTTGTTGAATTTGGACCTCACTATCCCCTGTTCTCTTCTATTTCTTACTGCAGACTTTCTGTCTTATTTCAAGTGAAGAACTTTGCGCCAGGAGCTATTTATGGATTTAGGTAGTGTCCAGCACCATGGAACCAGTTCATGTTTGGGCTTCTACAGTTCATCTGCTGTGTTCCAGGATGCTTTAGTTGGTGAACAGCCAGTGAGGACCATCTTTCAAGCATACTGTAAGAAGAAAGCTCCTGTGCAAGCTTAGGTTGCTTGTGACAGTAGAAGGCAAGCGCTGAGATGTTGTCGGTGTATTGGTGCTTATCTCCTTGCAATTGTGGCAAAAGGGCCAGGATTCAAGGAACAGTCTTCATAATGGATTAATCTCAATTGCAGAGTTGTCCCAAATCTACATTCAAATATTAGTCTCAGACTTCCAGTGTAGGGACTAGATATCTATTTTGCAAAAGCAGAGAATAACTGGGTGATTAAGTATGTGGTGTATAATACCAGGAAAAAAGGTTTTTATTGCACAGAGGAATTTATGTGGTGCAGAATTGGACATGACTTTTTGGGTATATTTTCTGGAGCCTTTGGCTTTGGGGGGCGGGCATGAGGCAAAGGAATAACTGCTGAAGGGATCCCTGGATGAAGAAGGGAGAGATTGAGAGGAAAGGACCTTTGCACATTTGGACAACTTGTTGTATTAAAGGTCTAGCTTTGAAAAGAGATTTCCAGAACTATAAGGAACATCTGACAGGCAGTATTGCATGCTGCGTGTATTCCCAGCTAACAGAATTCAAATACATTTTCTATAAAGACATAGAGGAAAGGACAAGGAGAGGGCAGCATCAGTGGAAAAGATTACTGAGAAGAAAAACATACAACCATCGGCAGTTTAAGAAAACTTTACAATCACTCTGTGTGCAGAGAATGTTAGTTCTGTATTTCCCTTGCACCTCACCTCGTAACAGATGGCACCTCTAAGCCTTCTGTTTTGGCTGTTTTTTTGAGTCAGTCTCCTCAGATATAAGAACTTTCTCCCATCCTGCTGCAGCTGTGCATCCTCATTCTGACAAAAGATGGACACAGCTCACTTCCTTCTTGCATTTTTCCCCTTCCTGTACTGGTTTCCTTTTGAAAATATGTGGAAATGGGGAGATTATATGAAGATTCAAGATAAGATCCCCTTAAGTTGGTTGGTTACGCTGGAAAATTAGCTATCATTATGTTGTTAAACTGCCCTGCTTCTCAGAGAGGAGGTTACAGTGCAGAAGCTGCCCATCAGCTTCTTATGGCCCGTGTGCAGATACACACCAGGCACACGGGTGTGATGCCTCCATACTTTTCTTGGAGCACCTCTTGTCACGGTAGGAGACTTGAGGGAATTTCTAGCCGCCCTTTAGTCTTCTACCTACAAGCTCAGTTTGCTCATCTGTAGCATCTGAAGAAAATTCAGCGACCTGTGCATTTTGCTGACCTTTGTATTGGTTATTCTAAGTCCTTTTCTTTTTTTTTTTATGAACCTTCTCTTTTCCTATCCCCTGTCAGCATCTCCTTTCAGTGCTCTCGCATGTTATCACTTTCTTCAGAGCGGCACAGTGTTAGAGAGCAGGGCAGGAGTCCTGTTTCCAGATGGCACAGGGATGAGTGCACGTGACACGGCTGCAGTCCTTCCCTAGCACCTCGTGCCACTGAGTTGACAAGTGCTGAGCAAAGAGGTTAAACAGGGCCTAATCAGGGGTCAAGAGAAATCGGACTTGAAAGTATATGTTTAAAGAATAGAGGATGTTGTGTTTGCCCTGTGTCATATATCTATAAGGCTTCAGTGGAATTACACCTGAAATAAATCAGGGCTAATGAGTTACAGTGTGGCAAGGTAATGCTTAAGACTTTAAAAATCTCTTCAACGTATTGAAAGTGTATAAAAACTAATTGTGTTGAGATTGTTCCGTGATAAGTAAATTATGCTCTTTCAAAGCCTTTCACCAAGTTTCTTTGTGCAGAGGTAGTTAGTTAGAGTTTGTTCTCATTTCCTGCTTTCCAGGCCTCACCACCTCTCTACGCTCAGCTCTTCCTTTCAGTTCTCATGCTTTATGCTTTGCTGTCCTGAACCCAAACCTGAATGGGCTTCAGCGGCTCTCTTGCTTTCTGACTTTGGACCAGGAGATCTGATGTTATAAATCTTCTCTAAACCATCTTAACTCTGTGATGCATGTGAGTTCTCTAGCAAGAGAAAGAACAGTTCAGTTACTGGGCAAAAGGTGTGGTATCTGAAAGCACAAAACTTCAGAAACGTTCTCTTGGCGTTTCCTTTCTGTTGCTCCCGTCACAGCACAGCCTTTCAGCACACTGAGCTTTTCGAGCACAAGGATTTAGGGGGCTGCTGATAGGGCTGAAGTTTCCATGCTCCATTCATCTGAGCTAATCCGTATTGGAATGGGCAAAGTGCTCTCCTTGAAAGGAGCAAAAGGACAATGTGTGCTCCTTGTGAGAGGCCTGCATTCTGCTACTGGCGATTGCCTCTGGTAAGTTCTTTGGTTGCCCCACTATGGGCAAAGCCCTTGTACCTTTTACCACCCATTGCATACCCCATTTAGGCCCCTTCTGAGCCTCAGAGCCTCGTAAGGAGCCTTACCCAGGAGTTAAATCCACTATAGTAAACCGAGATAACAACTCGCTTTGTTTCTCGGGCGCTTTGTGGGCGTTGTGTCGCGCCGCGTGTTGCTGCGTGGGCTCGTGGCGCCCTCGCTGACTTCTCTCCCCGCTGTGTTTCAGAGCGTGCGCGCAGGCATGGCCGCGGCAGAGCCCCTGACCGCCTTCTCCCGCTGGTACCTCTACGCCATCCACGGCTACTTCTGCGAGGTGATGTTCACGGCCGCCTGGGAGTTCGTGGTCAACTTCAACTGGAAGTTCCCGGGGGTCACCAGCGTGTGGGCGCTCTTCATTTACGGCACCTCCATCCTCATCGTGGAGAAGATGTACCTGTATCTCAAGGACAAGTGCAACATTGTGGTGCGCTGCCTCATTTACACCCTTTGGACCTATCTCTGGGAGTTCACTACCGGCCTCATTCTGCGCCAGTTCAACGCCTGCCCGTGGGACTATTCCCAGTTTGATTTTGACTTCATGGGCCTCATCACGCTGGAATACGCCATCCCCTGGTTTTGTGCTTCGTTCATCATGGAGCAGCTGGTGATCAGAAACACCCTGCGCTTACGGTTTGACGAGACTGCTGAGCCGGGGGCCCCCACTGTCCCCGTTGCCTTGGCCAACGGCCACGTGAAGACTGACTGAGCAGTGACTCAGAGCCGCTCTTAGCAGCCGAGGGAGCCTACACCTCTACTACAGACTGTCAGCGCGGGCTTTCAGGGACTGCTCTTTCCTGTATGATAAGATTCATAAGCCCCATTTTTTTTCTAAAGGGGGTATGCATGGGATATACCAGAAAAAAAAAAATGGAACCAATGGATTTTCTATGGATTTTACTCTTTGGGCTCCAAGGACCAATGTCAGCTACTTGTTAGTTAGGTTATTTCTGATTTTAAATTATTACAGATGAAAGCAGTTCTTTCGCTTACATGTATGTGGAGAGAGAAGAAAAAAATGCTACAGTGGAAATGCATACAAAAATTTGAAAAAAGTTACTGGATGGGCATGGACATGCCAGCTAAGGTAACGATTGGCTTACTCTATTAGGCAATATTCAGGTGCTTGCTTGCAACCAATACCTCCCACAGGACCTGAGATGCTGCAGGACCAAGGAAAATCCACGTGCTGATGAGAAGAGCCGGAGGATGGCAGCGAGCTGGGGAGGTAGATGGTGCTCCCCGTTACAGGTCCCCTTGGCCTCCCGCCAGGTTCTTGGTTTGCACCACATGTAGTCTGGTGCTGGACATCTTGCTGAATTTATACCAGTCTTGTACTTTTTGAAGTCTCTGACCTGATGCTCACTAGAGAAGTCCCTTTTTTTTTTTTTTTTTTTTTTTTTTTTTTTTTTAATAAAGGCCTTTTTTTGCCAAGTGAATTTTACCATCATCTCTGCAGTTTGGATCTTGGCAAGAAGAACGAGCACTAGCTTATGTCTTCCCATCACCTGTATCCCCTCAAAGCAGGACTTGCCCAAGGGGCTGCTCCAGGTTCTGGCTTCCATCCCAACCGGGCAGAATTTGCAAGGACCGTGCGCGCTGCAAAGGTTTGCTGCCTTCCTTCCCAGGGCTCCCTCTGCTTCTGGTGACGTTGCTGACTTTAGTCTGGCCGTAACCCCTAGTACTTGATCGAAGGCCAAAAATCCTTGTGTGGCTAAGGCGGGAGCCGGGGTTCAGAGTCCTTTGGGATTGACTGTCAGCTTCCTTTAGCAGCGGTGGCTCTTGGCCCAGTTCTGCCCCACGTTCCTCTCGGAGTTTGTTTGTTTTCTCCTCCTCCCCAATGTGACTTTGCATAACTGCAGCAGCCCTTGGCTGGACACTGACGGCAGGCAGCGAGGGAGATGCGGCAGCACCTGGTACAGCGAGGCACGGTGCCCAGGGAGGTGTCTGGGGAGCCCTGCCCGGGGCTGAGCTGAGGGGCGAATGCGGCCGCCAGCGAGGCCAACAAAGCGCCCGGGCTCCGTTTTAGGGAGACCTGGGCTGGAAAGGCTCTAATTTATTTAAGGTAGGAGCATTCTTGGAACACAGGGAAAGCTGTAATGCTGACAAAGTGCTTGATTACTGGCAGCCACAGCTGATTATTTGCTTTGGGAAATCTTGGTAGTTGGAATTAGCAGCATCCATGGAGCTTCCAGCTGGCGGACATACCTCGCTCCTAACAGCTTTAGGAGGAGGTTGGCTTTAACTGCCCTGGAGGGGCAGGTACATCGTAGGGGTTCTTCCACCAAAGCCACCAGAGCCGCGCCAGGGGTGCATTTGGCTTGCAATGCAAATCTGTGTGATTGTAGAATGCCACTCCTGTTGGGAACCTGTTTGTCTGTGTTGGTCCCCTGCTTCCAGTAGGACGTGCTCAGCTATGGACCTGCTTCTTGCCCTGGAGCATCGTTCCAGAGAGGAAAAGCACTTCTGGCTGTGTGAGGGGAATCGTTGCTTGGTTCTGCTCTTACAAGGGCAATGTTAATCCTTTTTGTATCACACAGAGTGCAATTATTTTATTGCTCCTTCCCCCTTCTCACATGACATCCGTTGCTGGCAATGGACACGTGAAAACTCTGGTGTCAAGGAGTTAAGCAAACCTGCCTTGGGGTATGCAATGTCGTCTGAAGCACTCAGAATACCTAGGTGGGTACTTAGAGTTCCCTTTTGCTACTTCATTAAATTAAAAAAGAACTAACCCTGAGCCACTGAACAGACTTTCTTTTTTCTGTTTATTTATTTTTTTCCTTTTAATGTCATGCTGTGATGCCAGTATTGTGCAATCAGAGAAATGGTATGTTGCTTGTCAGCCTGGTGGTCTCAAGGGTTTAGACCCAGGCACAACAGTCACCTGAAGCAGCAGGAGGGGCCGGGTGCGGGTAGGAGCTGGGACCCCTCCATTCTGGCTCTGGTGCAAGCGAAGCCATTGGGCCTGGGTAGCTAAATGCAGCACATGAAACGAGGCTGGCCTCTCTGGGCACAGCCTAACTCGTGTGTGATGCCGCCTTGCCTGCAGTGCTCTGAAACGCCCTGCTCCACGGGAGCTGCCTTGGGGAACCCTCGTTAGGTAAAGCTCAGAAGTTAGGAGGAGCTGTGGGCATCCTTGGTGATCCACAGCAGCTGTGCCTGGAGCAGGGAGGAGGAGTGGCTGCTCACCTGGTGTGCAGCCCTGTCCCTTGCCTTGAGAAGCCTCTTGCCAAGTGCCACCGTGTCACACAGTTATGCGATATCCCAGTACTCAAACCATGGAGGAGTCCCCACATGGCATCCAGTATCTTACTCCATTATTCTTTATCATTGTGACACTACTGCAGTTCTGACAGGTACTACCCAGATACTGCATCTTCACAGCGTTGTAATTTACACCCTGACGTGCGCTTTGCTTGCAGCTTGCACACCAGAACCAGAATGGAACCCAGCAAATGGTTAAATCAATTCAGATAATCCCCTGGCAACTCATGCATTCACAGAGGTTTTCTGTAATGCCATGTACCTAATGCAGCAGGATTAGCTAGACTTCTTTCTGAGCAATGTGGTTACAGTCAGAGCTTTGTTTGTCCTGAGAAATCTCCCTGTTTTAATACATGTGCTGCTTCTTATACCGTCTTACAGGAGGAGTGTCCAGAGTGCAGTGAGACACCATGGGGCTCACTGGCAGCTCAGCAAGGGCAAAGGAGCTGGACTGAATTCAGAAGAAAAAAAAAAACGCACAAAGGCCTAACATTTGTACGTGTATCTTCCTCAGTAGATTAAAGTTGCCTGTTTTGAGTTCACCAGCAATAAAAAAACTTGTGATTTATCCACTTTGTCCTTACTCTGCAGCGACAAGGACAGAGTTGCCTATTGCTGCATTTTTTTCTTTTTCTTTCTTTCTTTTTTTTTTTTTTAGTATGGTGGGATATGGGCTGAAGTTACCTTTGGGTTTTATACTGCCTCCCTTGTTTTCATTTTCACTTTTACTGTCCACCTTAAGCATCTCAAAGTACAGCATAAAATAAGGAGTCTGGAACAGGATAAAATAAGGAGTGCATTCAAGCATTACTGCGATGTCTGTTCATCCTCCAAAGATCTTGCCGGAGGGGAACAGCTCATTTGAAATAGGACTGGGCTGCATTTTGCTCTCTCTGGTGTTACAATTGAGAGACATATGTCCCTATGTACCAGGTGCTGTTATGCCTTTGGTCTGAGTGCATTTTGTAATTAAAATGGAATAATCCAGTCAAAGTTTTGCTTGATTAGTCCTGTGAGTATAAAAGGCAAAAAAGTGACCGAAAGGCTCTAACTGCTTGGAGTGGGGGGGCTGGCAACCCAAGGCCCCTGAGCTCAGCATCACTGCTCTGACCAAGTTCTGAAGCCTGCACAGAAAGAGCAGCGATTTCTTTGCTAGTGTGAACTTCTGGCCTTTCTGTACTATGAATAAAACATGAGTCACCAGAAAGATGTGTGCTGAAACCTGTGCTGAAACCAAACATTCTTCTGCTTTAGTTCATGCGGGGCCCTGAGCTCACGCCTGCCCCTAGGCAAGAGGCAGGCCTGCAAACAGCGGGCTCTGCGGCAGGGCTTCCTGCCTGCATCCCCTGCCTGAGCCAGCACACAAGGAAATGACTCTTTTCCCTCTCCTCCCTCCTCACCAGCTGCTACCACGTCCCTCTGTGAGCCGCCCCTGTTGCAGCAGCAAAGGGCAACACCTCGTGGTGCAGCTCCTTTGAATCAGACACGGCTCCCAACACAGAAGTGTGTCCTTCTCCCAGCTCCTGCTGCACCTCCTTGTCCAGGCAGGGCTGTAGTGAGCGATCTTGGGAGTTTTGTCCCTCCAGTCGTGTCCCCGTGCTGTGTCAGGAGCAGCCCTATGGCAGGGACCGTCCCTTCCTGCAGCCCCAGGTGCTGCCCTGGGCTTCGTGCTGCAGCCAGGCGCTCGCACCGCTCCAGAGAGGCTCTAAGTGAACAGGAGTTCAGTTCACAAGGGTTCAGGCTTGGCCTGGCCAGGAACACTGCTTTTTAAGACCAGAGTCTGGTCTTCTAGATAGTAGCCCACGTGGAATGGCTTGTTCTGAGGATGGCTGGGGTCTCCTCCACCTGGCTGCCCTGTACACTGTCTTCTGACCACCCCACCGTGGCGAAGCTGTGGGGCCGGCCGCGCGCCCAGTACCTGCTCTGCTCTGGGCGCCAGGCAGCTGGTGCAGGTGCCGCAGGAAGAAGTGCTGTCTTAGAGTAGGTCCCAGGGAGCGCCTAGCGCTGTGCTGCCTCATTAGTGTCTAACAGCTCCACGTCTTCAAATGCAAAGTGGCCCTTTCCCAGTGGGATCTTCACCGGATGCGGCAATGTGGAAGCTACCTGCTGTCCCTGGAGCACGACAGCCTGAATTCACTGTGGAATGGAAAGAATGATCAGAATCTTCAGCTACCTTTATTTTTTCTTTTCCTAGGAGATTCTTGATTTGCATCTTTGTGGAAAATGCATCATCTATAGAGATGCAAGCTAGTGGCTATTAAGCTAGAAGCCCTATAGCTCTGTGCTCCATCCTGGCAAATTAATCATGAGAAGCAGCAGAATACACTGGCCCATAGAGAGTGCTGCAATGTGGCCATACCACTTTTCAGCACAAGGACCTACTCAGGAATAGTGCCTTATGAAATATACTCTTAATTCCATGGATTCCAGTGGAAATTGTTTTCAGGGGAAAGCAGGAGAGAGAAAGAGTGAAATACTACTTGAACTTTAGTACTGCTTTTGATCTTGAGAGTGCCTTTATAGTTAGAGCTGCTTAACTGAGGCTCTAGAGACCAGACGTGGGAAAGCAATTTGTCTCAGCCTTGCAGTAGGTCCCTGGATCATCATGTAAGTGCAGGTTGTGTTGCACATAGTGGGCTGTGCAATCCCTGCTCAAAGCCAGGAAGAGCTGCCCTACAAGGGCAGAGATACCCCGAGTGCTGCAGGCAATGGCTGCAGAGCAAGGACTGCTGGGGAGATCCAGGCTCCCAAATCTTCAAGACCTGGACAGGTTGATTAGAAAGAGCCTCCCGATCCCAAGACTGAGATACCTTCTGGCAGAACCAGCTCTTTTATGGTCTCCACTTTTCCAAATCTCTGAGGTCTAAGGCAATCTGGCAGTATTTTAATTCTGATAACGTCAGACCTTTCCTTGGCTCTTTTATTCTGGAGTACTCTCTCCTCCTTTTGTAGCCATTGGATTTTCTGATGTAAATAACCTTCCTTAGCTCTAAGAAAATACTAGCTTTGGTAATTCCAAATGCTTGACATCAGTTTGCACATACGTTTTAGTCAATTTAGGACTATGTTGAGTTGAGATATGCATAGTACTTGCAGATTTCTGGATTTGCAAATACGAGGCACAATTTCCATTGCAGCACTTCTCTCTCCTTGGAGGTTAACTCCTTTTGCAATGCCCGCGCTGCTATCTCTGCATGGTACTTTGCCTAATATGACTTTTTTAAGGGTGGTATGAGGTATAATAGTACTTGCATCTCTTTAATTATTCCCCTGAATAATTCCCCTGAATAATCTCAAAGTGCTTTTGCCACACCAGTAAAGTGCTTCTCACAGCAGGCCCTTGACTGGGTCAGGATTAACCCCAAATAACACAATAGAGAGCTCATGGTAATGTCCTGACAGCTCCCAAAGGGTCTTTTCAGACTTATGAAAGGGAGTTGAACATGTTGCCCATTCTCCAAAAACTTTCAGGTTTGAGGAGTGAAGATTCCAAAAAAATATTGGGAAACTGGGAAAGTCCCATGAGTTGACAGAGGGGCGCTGGGCACGTGTGGAGCCCAAGGCAGGAGCTGGCACTGACTCTCCAAGGGCTCCCCAGTTCCCTGCAGGACAGGGCTGGGCTGAACTTGCAGCTGGCTCTGTGGGCACCCAGCTCTGGTGCTGAGGTGTCAGAGCCTGGGTCTGGATTCTCCAGCAGCCTAGTGGCAGCACAGCCCCACTGCTGCCACAGCCCAGCAAGGGGGGCACGCTGCACTGCCACAGCACCCTGCCACCAAACTTGTTTCTTCGTTGTTTGTCTTCATATAGGACTGAACACCTACCTTGACACCTAGAGCTAAATAACCCTGGACTTCAGAGTACTGACCGCACAGGGGTTCTCTGTCTGTTTGCTGCATAAATCCTGCCTTCATCAGCAGAGTATTTTTGGGTAAATATTGCTAGGGGCAACCAGCCATATTAGAGGCTAAACTGAGGTGACCATCTGCTCTATCAGCTCTTGTTGTTGCAGTTGTGGAAGAGCTTATCTACATTGCTGCTTCTGCTGTCAGATCACTCATCTGCTGCTATTGCTCTTCCTCTTGATGCTGTTTCTCCATCAGCTCTTCTGGCAATCTGTCCCTTTCTGTGCTTCTCATCTACCTCGAGTCCACACTGCAGTCCCAGGCACCTGAGTCTCCTGTCGCACCTAAATTGCACCCTGGGCAATTTACCCAGATGAGCCGATGAGATGCAGCTTCCATGAAGGTCCACAACGGCCCGGGCTTGTCAGCAGTGTGGATGTTCTGGGCAGAAAACACTATGCACACACGCCCTCAGGCACACGTATAGCAGCAAGCTGGCAATTACCATGCAGTGCCTTCGCTATAGCATCCGCACAATGGTATGTAATAGCTTCTGGGACTAAAAAAGCTTCTCCTGCCAATCTCTCTGAGTTTCTGTGTATGCTGAATAACACTTAATTTCAGCCGATACTGCACATAAGTGCATATACACATAGTGTGTGCATATGTTTACAGGGATAATCGTAGTCAATGGCCTCCATACCGAGCCACCGACTATATCACAACCTCTACTGCCAAAGAAGAGCTGCTTAGCTGTGAACAGCCATCTGGCCCATTCATTCAGATCCAGAGATGTACCGAAACAAAGCTGCATGTACAGATTAAACAGGTTAAGATCTGAATTGAGATGCTTTGACACTCGGGAAGGCCTCGTTTCAATTTGGGGATTTAAAGCTTTTGACCTTTGAGTGCTCAGTTCAGAGAGGGGGATAAGGCTTGTGTTTTACAAATGTTTTATGCAAGGTTTTAAAAACAGATTCGTATCTAAGCCAAAGAAAGGTACCAAGCTGTCTAGCTCCATCTTTAAACAAATGGAGAGAGATTGCTTTGGGGATCATCTCAGGTTGCCAGAAGCGAACTTCTCTGCAGGTTGATCTCTATTTGTTGATGAGGGTGGTATGTACCTGCCAAAGTCACAGACAGGCTCTTTAAGTGCTACAGTACCACAGAGAATAACAAAAAAAAAAAACAAAACAAAACAAAACAAAACAAAAAAAAAACCAGAAAACACCTCTCCGAGTCTTTGAGGGTATGGGCAAACACCCAGCTCTGTTCCACCAGCAAAACCACTTGCGCAGGCCCTTCACAAGGCGCTCGTGGTGCCGCTGGCCCTCCAGCCATGCCGGCCAGCGAGCAGCGGGGAGGAGAAGGCGGTGCGGCGCTGCGCAGCGTGGCCGCCAGCACGCTGACCTCCCAGCGCCGGCAGCGCACGGAGCACCCGCTGCTGGGACTCCATGGCGCCCGGGCCCGCGGACCGGCCGGTGCTGGCCTCCCACAGCTCGGAGGGCGGCCTGGCTCGCCAGCAGAGGCTGCCTGGGGGAAGCGTGGCGACGATGGCGGGGTTTTGCTCAGCACGCGGGCCGGGCGGGCCCAGCTGCCTTTCGCTCGGCCCGGCGGTCGGTGCGGCACGCGTGGCGGGGACAGCGGGGTGCTCCGCGCGACGAGCGCCCCGCGAGCGCCCGCACGCGACACCCCCATCACTGCAGCGCGGCCCGCGTACAGCAAAGCGCCATGAAGGGCTATGTGCACAAGGCCTGACTTCTCCCTCTGCTTCCAGCCCAAGTGACTCAGTCTTAGCAGCTTCCCAGCTCACTTTGAACAGCTTCTCCGAAGCTTTCAGAGGTGTCCAACGTTGTCTCTACTGACAGGATGCGGGGTAACAGTTATCTGGAAAGGGCTGTGTGTGTCTCCTAATGCCCTTGGCTGACTGTATCAGCTGCCCCCTCAGCGCCCATCAGTGCTCCCTGTTCCTCCATATTAAGGTAAAGCTCTTTACGATCATCAGTTGTGCTCTTATTTGGCTGGCCTTTATGGCTATCTTGTCCCCATCTCCTGAGGTCTCTCTATTGTGCTAATACTGATGTCCCGTGTGCCTGTTTCATGTTACTCATCCTGCGCACATGACATTTTTCTTCAGTTGACCTGCCAGGACATACCCTTCTCCCTGTTCCAGTCTGTCTCGCCAGCCCTACAAAACCCAGCAAATTAAACCATCTGCGTATCTATTTCACATGTTTATGAGTGAGACGCTAATCCCTGCATAGTGAAAGGGTCATATGTACAAAAGGGGAAATGAGGACACTAGCATTAAAGG